AGGTTTAGAAATGGAAGCCAGTTTTCTTTCGGTTTCTCACGGGTGAATTTTATGTACTCTGACTGTTCATTCAATAACTTAAAGCATTTGTCCATCTCCTCTTGTGTGGAGCAGATGACAAAACAATCATCTATGTACCTACAGTAGAGTAATGGCGTGAGATCGATTACTGGTGCTTCCACTTTAGACATAAAGGCAACGGCAAGGGTTGGTGCCAGTCGCTGTCCCATTGCCAACCCTCTAATTTGTGCGTAATATTTCCCGGACCATCTGAAGATCGAGCAGTTTAAACAGACCTTCAGGAGGACCATAAGCTGCTGAATCGAAAAGCCATACATGTTAATCGCTCTTTCGTGTTTCTCAAGAAGCTCACGGATGGCTTGCATTGCGGAGTCGTTCGACACGTTAGTGTAAAGAGCGGTAACGTCGAACGATTCCATAACGTACGCGCTTTTGGGACGTGCGTTACGCAGACGGTCTAGGAACATTTGGGTGTTCGTGAGATGGGCTGGTATGTGCCTAAGCAACTGGTTGAGAATTAGGTTTATAAACCAAGCAATTCTATCTGTAGGCCCGTCTACACAACTGATGATGGGTCTCACTTTAAAAGTGGAGGGGTCGGTAGACGCCAGATCATCAGCGCGTGTTAACTTATGGGTCTTGATAAGTAAGTATAGGACGGGACAAGTTGGCACTTCGATCTTTAGATGCGAAATGTCTGCTGGTACCGAAACTATTTGACTGGCTAGCAAATTTTGTTTAAATCCTAATAAAACTAAGTCGGGATTTTTCAAACCAACCTTCATTAACCCTCGGCATTAAAGATCAATCGCATTCAAGATCACTAAGCTAACATGAGGTTGATAAAAATGTCGATTCGGCTAACGTTTCTTCGTCCTCCTCAAAGTCGATGTTCCGAATCGATGGTCCACAGTTGTTTGCCCTGTCGTCTAATAGCAATCGTTCATTAATTTTACTAAAAGGCAACGTGCGCATTTTTAGAAGTTCTTTGAAGAAAAACTTAAATGACAGTTTCTTCACTAACTTCATTCTCATTGAATTCTCAGCGTTATACTCACTAGCTGGTGAGTTATTATCCGCTAAGCATTTCTTCAAAGGTTCGTGAACGGCTCCTCGCTCCTTCTCATACTTTTTCACAAGCTTTTGATTGTTCTTTAGAAAACAAAAGAAGCTGAAGAAATTTGAAGCCGTCGTCTTACACTTTCGAACCCAGTGCGAGTGAGTTTTTGGTTTATTTCTAAAGGAAACCATTAAAGCGGTGTTATAACAGTTTTGATAAATGTTTTTATACTTTTTTCCACTCATCATCGATCGATTCTTTTCTAGAAAAACGTTTTCCTTTTATGGTTATTGGCATCATGAATGGAAGATTTCGCAAATGTTTTATGGTACTCAAATCGATGACCAGTTGGAAAACCTATTCAAATAGCTTCCATAGTTTAATGAGATCAGGAATAGATGTCAAATAATTCAGTGAATTGATAGCTACGATTGAGGAGACTGTAGTAGCCTATATTTATCATAGCTGTAAATCTAATCCATTTGAAAAGACAGTGCTGCGGCTTTTTCTATTGGGGTCATGGAGGTGCTAGGCGGACTACGCTGAGGTTAACTTAATCTTCCCAGGGCTCGCATGAAGGCGAAATCTACAGAAACGTAAGTTGTTGTAGACAATTAATCTATGATAGCAATCTCCTGTGCTTGCTGTTCAACAAAATAGTGAGTTTTTATAGATGTTTAACATTTTATTCGTTGCTTAATATTTTTTCACTGGACGACATTACGAGAGACACAACCACAATGACGCTGAGATATTTGCAAAACTTGGAGCCCACTCCACATTCAAACTCACGAGTACCCTTTTAAGGGGCTCATGTATCACCCAAGGCTCCACAGAAGCACTTGCTCTGACTTTGTTTGCGCCAGTTTTTTTACCCTGGCTGTGCTAAGAGCACCCTTCAACGAGAATGAGCAGGAGAGCACAAACCAGCATTAAGCCAATTTAACGTGGTGCTGTAGCCGAAATCGCAAACTTGCACTTTTAATTTGCCTCCTATAATTTTTTCACGGTAAAGTGTTACGTTCCAATTATCTCTCTCACATGAGGGATCTCGAGCCGATTAGTCGCGAGGCTACGTGGCGCGTCCCCAGGTGGCCGATAGGGGTTAATCGCAGACCGAAAGCGACCTTTGCTTCCTTGAGACGCAGGTGTATCTGAGGATGGGCTCCCTGTTTCTGCTGGGCTGATTTGGCACATACTTTCTAAATTTTCTAGGCGTATTCATGCATACGTGTGCGGGTGCGTTCCTGCTAATACGGATTTTCTACGAGTCAATTCCGCCAAAAGCCTGCAATCAAGCGACTGGGAAGTATATGGGAGGTGGTTAAAAGCCGCTTCCAACAAACGAGATCCATGACCACTCTTGGAGAGCCTGGAAAGCTACCCGTGAGTATACTCAGCCTTCACGTTCAGAGCCCAGCAAGCTATACGTGGGTGTCAAGAAATGATAAACAGTTTTAAAAAACATGCCTCATTCCCCGGAACTCGAAAGAGCACCCAATGTCGCAGCGTGGGGTAGGACGAGTATGGAGATGCTGCTAAAATCTCACGGCCAATGGAAGCTGCCTGAATTTCAAAAAACTATGGTGACGATCTGCACCTGCAATGCACGTACACTTGCATCCGAGGCTTCGATAGAAGACTTGGCCATGCAAGCAAGAAGGATAAGGTACGACGTCATCGGCCTGGTCGAGACGAGAAGACGCTAGCCTTTCAACGCCGTCTATGACACCGGAGAAGAATTACTCCTCGGAACATGCGACAGCAAAGGAGTCGGCGCCGTCGGCGTTTTTTCAACACGAGTTTGCCCATGAACATCGATTCATTCGAACAATTTACAACCAGAACCGGACGTTTACGATTAAGAAGACGTCCATAAAGTGGCTTTGACAATCTTTGTCGTTTACGCCCCAACATCAAACTATGTCGAAGAAGAAGTCGAAGCGTTCTACTTCGACTTGGAGAACTTCTACAGAGAAGACTACACATTCTTCAAGGTCATCGTTGGAAATTTCAACGCCAAGATTGGGCCAGGAAGAACGTATGGAAAACGTCACATTGGGAACCATGGATTAGAATGGAACGAACAGGGTGAGCGGCTGTCTGAGTTTATCATGACGAGCAAGACAATCCATAGTAACTCGCAATACCAGAAGCCAAACCCTCAGCGCTGGACATGAGATTCCTTCAATGGAGAGTACCAAAACGAAATAGACCACATCATAGTAAATAGAAGGTTTTGTGAACCAACGTCGCTGTTATCCCAAAATTCTACACGGGATGAGACCATCGTCCTCTTCGCGCAAAATTCTACTTTTCGCGGAAAGTAGAAAAAGCCGCTAAATTCCAAAACCGAAGTCCCAGAACCACCGCAAACTGGAACTCATTCAACTCATTAGTCGGCAGTTGGGAACATGCCGTTGTCGATAACATCGACAGAAGAATACGATCGCCTCGTTCAACATCTTCACGTTACCGCTATGAAAGATGAGAGTTCGAAAGTCACCAAGAGACGTCTGTCTCCAGAAACACTCGAGATGATAGGCCAGCGTGGATTCGCCCGAGCTGCAGGCAGCCGCGAACTAACGTCGGAACTTGCAAAGCAATGCAGACAAGCAATAAAAAGGGATCTTAGAGAGAGAAAATCAGCAGTAATAGCCGAAGCTGCAGAGGTTGGGAAAAGCATTCGCAAAGTCCTTCGCCAATTACAAGACCAAAGCGATTGCACTCCGACGCCCAGACGGAAAAGTTACAGCGTCCAAAAAGACAATGGAGAAAATAATTTACGAATACTACTTGGATCTTTTCGATAGCCACGTCCACCTTACGTCATATGAAGTAAAGAAGGATGGAAATGTTGTACTACCGTTTCTACCTTCCGAAATCCGACATGCTATTTCGTCGGTGAAAAAACGAGCAGCACCAGGTCCGGACAGGACAAGACCAGAGCACCTGAAGGTCCTTCCGCCAGTCCTCGTAAACACACTGGTTCTGCTTTTGACACGTTACCTGTTTGAATGGAAGGCTTCTACTCAGTGGAGGACCTGTAAGACCGTGTTATTGTTCAGAAAGAGTGACCTACACGATATCGGCAACTATACCCCAATCTGCTTGCTGTCTGTCGTCTACAAACTCACTCGAGTTATCCTAAACACGATTGACAGAACACTGGATGAACGATAGCCATGTGAGCGAGCAGGTTTTCGAAAAGGATTAATGAAGTATCGCGAGAGTACGAATGACCGCTCTATCTCACTTTCATCGATTTACAGAAGACCTTTGACTAAATTGGGTTAGAGGCAGTCTTGGATGGTCAAGGAGTACTTATTCAGTGGATAAAGATTCTTCTTGAGGTGTACGAAAATTTCACAACGACGATATCACCATTCCTCAACCAAATTAACATTGACGTCAATAGTGGAGTTAGGCTAGGCGATACCATCTAACCAAAATTATTTACCTCCACCATTCAGCACGTCATGCGAACATTGGAATGGGATAATAGGGAAGTGGAAATCGACGGTCGGCAGTTACACCATCTTCGTTTTGCTGATGACGTGGTCCTTATAACACCAAACATTAGCCAAGCGGAACGTATGCTTGACGACTTTGGTAAGGCCTGTGGAAAGATTGGTTTTCGACTAAATCTCGCAAAAACGATGTTCATGAAGAACGGATTGGTTTCGCATGTTTCATTCACGCTCAACGAAACGAATATCTCCGAATGCTCTGGTTATGTCTATTTAGGTGGGGAAATCGGTGTGACGAACAACCTTGCTCCAGAGCTGAGCAGAAGAAAACGAGCGGATTGAGGAGCTTTCAAGAGCATCGAGGATTATGTGAAGAAAACAAAGAACACCCGACTCCGTGCCCACCTTTTCGACTCAACAGTACTTCCTTTCCTAACGTATGTGTTAGAAACCTGGTTACCGCGTAAGCAGGTTAAAAGGTCACTCAGCGTTGTCGAACGCACAGCCGAAAGGACAATGCTAGGAGTATCCCGTTCCACACAAGTAAGAGATGGAATCCGAAGCTCCGACCTGCGTCAACGACCAAAAATCAAAGGCGCTGTTCTGTACGCCAAAAAGTCGAAAATAAGGTGTGCCTGACACGTAGTGCGTATGAATGACAACCGATGGACAAGAGCCGTTAGTGACTGGATTCCTCGCGATGTCAAACGTACTGCAAGTACCACCGACCCGATGGTCAGAGTTCTTCACAAAGATCCTTGAAGAAAGATATGATGGTCGACGAGTCCCTAGAGCAAGCAGAACACAGTGGGCTACTCTTGCATGCGAAAGGGAAAACGGAAGATTTACTGGCGCCCGCTCGAGTTACTCGTTGATCAACGGGACTACAGGTGATACAGGCGAAAGTGTTTCGTTTGATGATCAGATAGAGCCATGAATAAAGTTCTCGGCGTTGGTCAATTCATGAGGGATGCGCCGTGAATTTGACTCCATTAGGCATCGCCGGGGGTGATTGAATGTATAACTGGACTTTACAATGACGCGCCGTGGCCTACCGATGTATCGATCACGTGCTGCTATCTTCCCAGACGAGTCTGGTTCCAATTCGCCAACCCTGGAGAGATGGAAGGCTTCGTGAGCCATGGGTGCTGGGATCAATTCTGCGTGTGTGTTGCAGGGCGTCTCTGACCACTGCGCTACAGGCGCTCCTTATGCAGCCATAATGATGCAAATAAAGAGCAAAACGTTGTCACTTCGACTATAATTTCGGTCTGTCTAGGTTCGAGGCCTATTTTTGCTCTCCGGATCATTCCCGTTGAAGAGCGATTGCTGATGGCAGGATTAGGTTGAAAAGCTGGGCAAAAAGGAGGTAGAAAAGATGGCCCAGTGGTGCAGAAAACAATGCGTGAACCCCGAAAGGTGTTGTCACATTTTCGAATCTTATCTGAGGTTCAAGTTTTTCAGATATTTCAGCATCATCGTACTTGTATCATAGCTGCATTCTACGGTTGCTGACGTACGCTAAAAAGCCTCTCCTGATGTTTTGCTTTCCAGAAATGGAAAAATATTTAATGAATCATGCTTCGTAGGTCTTAACAGCCATTGTTTACCGATAGTACGATTGATATCTTTATGCCGAACGCGACCATCTTCGAGAGGATTGATGGCTGACGTTGTGCTCGCACAGTCGTTGTGGTCGATCCTACGTCTTTCGACTGTACCATCTATCATTGGTTCTGCCCTGCCAACAAACTGTTCAATCGCATTGTAGAGGAAAACAGCATATTGATGGTCCCGTTTAAAGTAATTATTCTTCAACTAGTTAATGGTAATTAATCCTTCTTCTCCAAGTGCCATATACCGAAACGTTACTATTTTGCACACAGTCCCGATTATAATATTTGCCGAGCCTTCCCAAGTCATTTATTAGTTCGGAAAATTGATGAGAAACAGAGAATTTCGGCACTGATTAATCCCCGGAGAACGCTCGATACATTCGAGTCCATTAAGCATCGTAGAGGAGATTGAATGCATGTTTGGCCTATACAATGATATACGGGCGCCTATCGATGTACCGAACTAGTGTTTTTAACGCCCCTGACAAACTTGGCACCAGCTTACTAACCTCAGTTGGATGAGAGGGTTGATCCACCCGCGCCACGATAATGAACCATTGAAGCAAAGTGTATTCCACAGACCTCTAACCACTGCACTACGCGAGTTACAATAAATGGAGCACAAACTTTTCTATCGATTAGTCTTTTTTTCGACCTATGTTCAAGTCTTCATTTGTCAAACGTGGCTCTCTACATCTCGGCAACCTTATTCCGTATGAATTGCATAAATTTTGTAATAAGTGCTTAAATAAGTACATGAGAAATGACTTATTTCCTCAATTATTGAATAGTCTAATCTATTTGTATATAGTGTGGTGAAGATTTGCAAGATATGATTGCTCAGATTGGACTGCTTTTGTCTAATCCTCAAATTCCGGCGGTGGTTGCATTGATCCAAACCAATGTTCGCCAAATGTGAGTGGGAATGTTGATAATTCAAATTACCTAGCTTTCCTTAAGTAATTTTTCTTCTACATTTTTAATAGTACGCATTGCAGAAGATTTAGACCTGTTATTACTTTCCATATTATTTCGCCCAACTAGTAAGAATGACGTTGGTCCGGTTTCCGAAAAATTTGTGCTGATTGACGCGCCGTCTTTCCCACGCTATCCAACGGCGTTAATGATCGGTATTCATCCCCTCACTGTTCATCATCGAAACATGTAGTAAGAACGAAGTGTTTTACAATAGTTTCCACTTTTTTCCAAATGTATTGACGAGTTTTTGAAGATGGGAAACTCTCCTGAACCCGCACTTCTTCAACTTTCAACCAGCGGTCTCGTTGACTCTCTCCATATTCTTTGAAGTTTACTTAGGAACAGATCATTTTTATCAAAATCATAAAAGAATAATGAGCAGGCTAAGCGGCACATATAAAGTACTATCACTCTGCTGGAGCAGAAATTTATTAATGGAAATAAGATTCTATTAGAATCTACGCATTTTGCTCTCCAAGATACAAGCTTGTTCACTTCAGCAAGGCAAAATTCTGAATTTCTGGAAGCCAAGGATTATTCAAAGGTAATTCCTGCAGTGATTTATTTGTTAAGAAAGTTCTCAGCAAGTTTTCTTCAAATCTTCGGCCAGAAGCGATGGTTTTTTAACGAGAGGTCCGTTGAGCACGATGGATTCGGGTGAGTTACCTTACACAACTCAATGAATTTTGGTAGCAATAGTTGTTCGACGCGTGATTGAGCATAGTCGAGCAGGGATAATGAATCTGGGTACTCTTCTACTGGGTACGTCCGAATAAATATGCCTTCCTTCTGTGGTATTTCATCAATTTCGTGATAGCATTTTTCTGCTGTTTCATTTTTTTACCTGCTATTTCTTCTGCTAATTCTTTCGGCAAAACTTGAAACGTTTTATTCAATGATTCCTATCCGCCGAAAATGAATAGGTCATCATCATGATCTTTTGGTGCTATTTCGGATTTGGAGAGCGTTTAGGGTCATATCCTATTCAGACTCTTATTGCCGTGAAGGATCCAATATCCATCATCCTCACAATATGATCGGAAAGTAGGTCGTTTTCTGTCATATAAAAGAAGCGCATAATAGACTTCATGACAATGATTTCGCTGAAATCCTTTGAATTTATACTCTACCCTAATGTGTTTTAAATAAGTGAAGACTTTTGAATTGAAATACTAAGTGTTTCTACAACCCTTTTCTTTACTGCCGTTTTCTTTTTAATGGCAGGGTATGTTGCGAAATATAACTCGCATATAATGCTGAGATATTTGCAAAACTCCGGACCGCAGGTGTCTGCTGTGGGGAGCGAACGCGTGCTATTGTCCTTACCGGAGAGTAGCGCACTTCACCACCACACCATCCGGGTCCTTCGTTTTGCCTGTCACCTAGCTAGTTCTATTGATCTTTTGTTTCTACAACGTTTCAAGTAGTTTGGACAATAGCTTTGAGAATCGACTTTAAATGTTTATTGTCAATTAGTGATAGGCGCACTCGCCCATCTTCACGAAGACTCGTGTATTTGTTAGCAAACATTTCGAGCAGTCTGCTTCCTAGGAGATCGGAATCCTTTCTGTAACCAATGTTTCGACAACTTGTCGAGTTTCTACCGCTGCTTTATACTGACACTTGAGCATGTGATGCGATTTTCTTGCTTTGAGACAGTGATTTTATTCTGCCTCAAAATCGTTGTAACCTTAGCTTCAGAGAAACTTTGCACGACAGTTTCTCAAATGAGAACTGAGTTTTAGAATCTAGAATGGTATGCGCCAAAAATGTGCGCGACAAGTATTTATCAGAAAATTTATCTACAGGTCTCATTAACATCCATTACTTCAACCTTATGAGAGCTTTCTGTAGTATTTATTTCTTCGCGTTCAACATACGTCTGCCATATTGTTACCAGAACTGAGCCTCCACGGAGAAGTAACATTTTTTCGAAATAACAAACTCCATACAACCACAGTGATGCTGGGATATTTGCAAAACTCAGGTCCTCAGGTGTCTGCTGTGGGGAACAAACACAGTATTACCTTTTCCGGGTGCTAACGCATTCACCACCTCACTATACAAGTCGCTCGTTTCGTCTATCTCTTAGCTAGTTCTATCGATCAGCGCCATCAGTAATCAGCTGTCAATAGATTGATCTAAGAAGCTCAAATGGGCAACGAACCCAGTTAAGCTGAGGATGTGGTCGAATGTCGAACACAATGTTAACTTTTTTATTTACTGCCTATTATAATTTTTCATGGCCGGGTATTACGTGTGACAAAAAATAAACTTCATATTTTTGTTTTAAACTCCACAAAGACTTCGAAATTGAAAAAAAGAATTTTCGTGGTTTGAACTATTTTTTTGCCGTTTTCACTTTCCGTTGGAAACATTTTCTGCCCTTTGTTCGCCTTTTCCTTTCACTAATTCGTTCTTCTCTTTTCGCTGTGATCTCTTTATGTGTCCAGTTCGTTAAAGCGTTTAAAGAAGACAGATTTTTAAAAAAAGGCAATCGAAGCGTTTGGAAAATCACTTGGAATAGGGGGTTGATTTACGTCTATGGATCTAATCGAGGTTCAGTGGAAAATCCATTTCCTAAATGAAATGATTATTGAGGGCGTAAACGTAGAGTTCAGCCTTCTAATGGCTCATAAAGAGCGCAAGGTTGAGAATTATTTTCTGGCAGTCTTTTGTCTTATACAGATGGGATTACCAGTAATCTATTAACGTTGACGATGACGAAAAAAACCACTCTGAGGTGAG